TTTTTTTTTTTTTTTTTTGAGGCAGAGTCTCTCTCTGTCGCCCAGGCTGGAGTGCATTGGTGTGACCTGGGCTCACTGCATCTTCCACCTCCCAGGTTCAAGCAATTCTCCTGCCTCAGCCTCCCGAGTAGCTGGGATTACAGGCATGAGCCACTACGCCTGGCTAATTTTTGTATTTTTAGTAGAGGCGGGGTTTCGCCATGCTGGCCAGGTTGGTCTCGAACTCCTTACCTCAGGTGATTCATTCGCCTCAGCCTCCCAAAATGCTGGGTTTGCAGGTATGTGCCACCACGCCTGGCGTGTATCACCTAGTAATGTTAACTCTAGTCACCCTGCTGATCTATCCAACACCAGGTCTTGTTTCTTCTAAGGGTATATTTGCAGCCATTGATCAGCCAGCCTCTCTTCATCCTCCCCCTCCCCATCCTTCCCAGCTGATTTTCGGTTTTTGTTTCTGACTCTGTTCAGTCTCCCACTTGTGTATTTCACCATGGAAGTGCCACATGTCCATGTTAGGGCGTTAATATCACAAGGGTCCAAGGAATGGATTGTTGCCCTCCCCAGTTTCTTAAATACTGCCTGCTTCATGTCAGTACCTTATAAGCATGGCCCATCTTTCTAAAATCTTTTGGGCTTTCATTAAAGAATTTATAAATTTCTGATAGATTTATGTTTCTACAACTAATGTTGTTACTTTATCTGCTGAGATTTGGTTTTCTTGTTTATAGGTACAGACTCTTAATGAGCAGGATTGGGAACGTGCCCAGCAAGCTAGTGTCTTGGCAAATGTAGCACAAGCATTCGAGAGTGATGCTGACGTGTCTGATGGTGAAGATGACAGGGACACTCTCCTCAGCTCAGTTGACCTGCTGTCGCCCAGCGGCCAGGCCGACGCGCACACGCTAGCCATGATGCTTCAGGAGCAGCTGGACGCCATCAACAAAGAGATCAGGTGTGTGCAGCCGTGCATGACACTCACCACACGCGTGGGTGTCTCTGAGGAATCTCATCCTGCCTGGAAAAGTCTGGATGAAATACTATTAACATTTCTAAGTGTTCCATAATAATAGAACTTACTTAACTTGTGTTTTAAGAATTTTAAGTTCTGAAATTGCCCTTGAATATAAAATTCAAGTAACCAGGGCACTCTCCCCACAGTCACGGCACTGGTACCTTTCGGTAGAACATTGTGGGACCTGAGAGGTGTTCAGTCCTTCCCCTGGGAGGGTGCCTGAAGGGGCTCTGGGCCCGCCCGGCTCCCACTGCCGTCCTGAGAGCTGCACTTGGAAGGCCATGTGAGCTGAGCACATCTGGAGGAGGCCAATCGGCCTACCTTCCTGACCCGGAGTGCAGATGAAAGGTGTGCACGGCGGTGGACTGGAAAGAGATGACAGACTGTAGCCTGCCTTGGATGAACAGCCTCCACAGGCCAGTGCCACTCACTAGAGAGACCAGTGCTCAGAACAAGTGCATGCCAGAGCGAGCACATAGGGTGGGAAGGCAGAGGAAGGGTTGCTTATCAACCCCCTTCTGGTCTGAGTGTCCCTCGTTGACCCTGAACCCTGAAAGGAGCGCGTTGCCGTCACCTGCCGTGTGTGCAGCCTCCTGCACAGAAGAGGCTTTGTGTAGTGCGTCCGTCAACCTCACGTGTTCAGGTCCCATCACACAGTGGCCTGGCACAGAACGCTGGAGCTCTTCCGAAGTGCACGCGCCACTCCAGTGTGCCTTTCCCTGTGTGAAGTTAACACGGACAGTGAGTGCTCAGAGTGCAGGTTTGCCCTCTAGTCTCATCAGTATTTTAAAGGGTTTTTCTTTAGCAACTTTAGCAGTTACAATGCAGAACTTCCAAAATGGGCCAACTGTAGAATGGAATCCAAGAATTGCTTTTATATTGACAAAGAGACCGGTAAACCCTGCCCACGCTGGCTTGGCCGAGGGACACAGCAGTGTGACCAGGGGGTGCCTGGGATCTACCCCCCAGGCCCTGACCTGACGTGCCGCTTGGCCAGCCTGAATCCAAGTGAGGAACAGGTGTGTGCGTGGAGTCCTGTGGCGGGTCTGGGTGGGGTGCTGCCAGG